CTCACACTCACACTCACTCTTACTTTCACTTTCACTCTCACACTCACTCTCACATTCACACTCACACTCACTCTCACACTCACTCACTTTCACACACACACACACACACACACACACACACACACACACAGGCCAACTTTATTGAACAAAACTACTTGACAAAGTGCAGCGTCCTGTCAAGTGGCGAGCTATTACTGGGTGTTATTAACTGTCTGTCTTCAGTGAGCGTGTAGGTGGAGCGGCAGCAAGGAGCACGCATTAACACACACACACGAAATGTAAAATAGAGGGTAATTACTGTACATCTACGCTTGTCTTAAGAGACTGTGTGGGAGAGGGGAAAGCGAGGAGAGGACGCACACACAACAATTACACAATTATTTCCAGTATGTATCAGAAAGCCTGCGAATGAGTGTGAGTTTAATATGTGATATGTGAAGTGGTTTGTGTTGTCGTGTTGTTTTAATCTGTGCATCAGTCACATGCAAATTAAAGCTTATTATCAGTAAAAGCTTTGTCGAAAGAAATCATCCTATTATTGTTGTGTTTTTAAGAGAGTTAATAAGATCCTGTCCATGCTAATGGTCCGCAAACAGAGTTTTAAGTCACTAAAAAGCAGATCGTTAAAAAACTCCACTTTATCTGTATTTGTTCTTTTCTGGACGTAAATATTTTGTAAAACAAACGTTGTGCGGAGAGATTATTAAAGAATGGAGTCAAACAAAGTCAAACAAAATATCCACAGTCATGAAGACAAGGTTTAAAAGTGGCATTCAAATACATGAATTAGACTGCACATGGAAACATCTGCTCCTGTCATCATGGATCAACCTCAGCCGAACTCTCACTCTTCTTCTCCCGTCACAAACCCACAGTCTGTCTCTTACCTTGAACTCGTACGACTCCTCTATGATGACCTCCAGTTTGACGTGGTCTCCCAGCATGGGTCGGCCCATCTCAGCGATGCGGCGCTCCTCTTCGTCTTTTCCTGTCAGAGCTTCTTCTTCCTCCTCCTCTTCCTTCAGCTGTTCTTCTGAAAACACAACAAACGAGCAGCGTTACCACAGGAGAGCGGCAGGACAGGCAGGCTCAGGTGATGCTGAAGGTTTTGAGAAGTAATTGGACTCAAACACCAGCAGAGAAAACCTTCAAGGTTTCCAGCTTTGCAGTTTTCTTGAGGGTTTTAACATCAGATGACATGAAATGTGAAAAGCTGACAAGAGCACGTTGTGGCTATTTAACTATAAATGATGAGTAAGAGCAGAGAAAATATTGCAGATGTTCCCTCTGACACTCACAATAATGTGTGTCTGTGTGTGTCGTCTTGTTAAATCTTAACAAAATCAGACTGGTGGGACGTTTGTTATAAATGCGGAGATGACATCTGTCCTGCTGGGAGAGTAATTGTCGATTTGTGTCAAGTGTTATGGACCCAGCAGTGTGGGTATTTTAATTTTTTATGTGTAGTGACAGCAACCCATCTGCCCACTGCAGTTTTATAACCTCTGCATTACAGTGATGAGATCTCGACCCTCTTTCTTTATTAAATCCAATAAAAACAAACCACTGGTGTTTAAAATCCCAGATTTTGACTGATTTTAATTCCTTTTTTTAGAAGTTTGGACTCAGTGAAGAACAGCGTTCTTCATTACACTGAACTGACTATGACTTTAGCGATCAGGGGGCGGAGCCGCAGCATATCCTGACGACACACATTCAACCAATGGTAAATAAGTCTCGGCACGTTTCACCCTGTTTTTATTGAATCAGATAACAAATCAAAACTCAAGTGATAATAAACCACCTTAAATCACAGCAACCACATTTTGTGTGTACTTTGCCTTTTAATTTTGGCTCATGTCCCATCCAATAACTTGGTGGAAGCGAGGCTTACTGTCTGTGCTGCAGCCAGCCACCAGGGGGCGATCAACACACTTTGGCTTCACTTTTGAAGAGCGAACACGTCCATCTTTAAGTAAAGTCCGTGGTTAAAAGATGGAACGATGAAATGAAGAATCTGAGTCAAGTGTGTGAAGTGATTTGTAATTTCAACTTGGTGAATTCATGTCTGGATATGTCTGTGGTGTCAGTTCATTTAATTAAGTTTACACAGTTGAATAATTTCACGAGCTTTAATATGTTCTATGATAAAATACACTTCCAGTTCCTCCATCACTTCACTATTCCACTCCCTCTATCTCCCATAGCCTCTTTTCTTCTTCTCTCCATTTCTTTATGGTGTGTGTGTCTGTGATTGAAATTCACTGCTGAGATCAAAGAGAGAGCGAGTGAGAGGGAGAAAGGCTGTGATCAAAATTTCCATGGGGGGGACGGTTATCCATGCCATTGCCTTTCATTACAGTGAAGTGCATTGTGGGTCTGCACCAGCTCATTGGTCATTTGTTCCCCTCAGTTGAGTTACAGCGTGGAGCTCATGGGTCACACACACACACACACACACACACACACACACACA